CGAAACATTTCTTGCCTACAACAAATATTTCTTTAGACCCCTTTCCCATTTTATTATCTTTTTCCTCCTTTTCATTGTTTCTTCTCCTGATATTTTCTTTTCAACCTTTAATACTCTTACCCACTGTCCTGGCGAGCATGGTATTTTTGGTAATGATTGTCAATTAATACTGCGGGTTCACTCAAAAATTGGAATATTTAAAAAGACATAAAAAAAATTTGACAGAAACTCTTAGTGATTTTTAAAAAACCCAAAAACCATTGTGAAGTTACTTCTGTGAAGAATCATTAATTAAAACCACAATTTGGTTTGCAGCATGACGGGAATGGAAGGGAAATACTCCGTCTGGACAATGGCCGAGTAGTGGACGTTGATCAGGTGGCATCAAACGGCGTCATCCATCTCATCGATGATGTTATTTTCTCAGAGAATTGTAGGATTCTGACTTTTTTTACGACTTAATTAAACTCCAGAACATAGCGTAATGACAAATAGCACTGTTTTCGTTCTGCTCGGCCTGTTTCGAGGATTCAACTCCCGCCGTGGTACAATCATCTCGGCCATTCGTTCACTCGTTTCGATAGCAAATTGGTACTACCAAATGCGAGGAAAGGGGTCAAACCCCAGCATATGCCAATACCAATTTGCCATCAGTTTGATTTTAAGCAATTTTCGAAAGAGGAAGCCATCGGCTGCTGTTGACGTTTGTCAGCATTTGGGCATTAGCTCGAGTGATAAAAAGTGGCAGAGACTGAGCTGTGAGTGAGCTTTTGACCTTCAACTTCCACTGAACCTGTAGTAGAGGGCGTAATTGATAATCTGTGTTATCGCAATTACAAGTGACAATATGAAGATCAAGATACTGAATCTAAGTAAAGCATATACTAATGAACAAATTATAGCCCTATTTCAACTCACATGTATTTTTAAATAGAAATAAGTGATAAGGTGAAACTTCACAATGACATATTTGCTCAAAAAATTTTAGTTATGGACTGGCGCGACCACATGGAACTGCCGGAAAGAAAATTTCTGGATCTTGTGGAGCGCAACATCGGCCTAGAAGATGAACCTGCGGCCATATTC